AAATAATTTCTGAGCTAGTTTCTATAAGTTGGAATCTACGAGAGAACTACGCACTCACTTTTATAAAAGCTGACAATTACCAAGGCTTCCATTCTCACAGTTTTGGAAAAAAGTACATTTCCATCACTCTCTGCTAACAGTCATTTTCCATCTTTCTAGACACACACACAAGGACAGGCTCTTTGGGGCTCTATTACAGACAAACAACACAGCCACACAGACCTGCCTTTACCTGGCCTAGTGTGTGGTGCAGGGGTGGGGAGGGGCGAGGCAGTGCAGGCTTATTTGTCCAGAAGAAGGTGCTCCCTGTTCCTTCCCTGACCCTCTTCCTCTCTCTCTTTTCTCTCCCTCCCTCTCCTTCTCCCCCACCTCGCTGAAACATGAGCTCCTAGAAGTGGTTATCTTCTTTGTCCTCTGCATATCCCCATACCCAGAAGAGTGCCTGGCACGCAGTAGGCACTCAATAAATGCTCCATGTATTAATGAAGAACAAAGGCATGAAGGAAGGGCTGCAGGGAGTGAGGAAAGCCAGGCAGCCACACCCCAAGGGCCACATCCTGTTTAAGTAGATGGGTCTGGAGGACCCCAGGAAGGACTCCATCAAAACCAGCTTGAGACAAGACTCTGGGGGGAAGCCCTTGAGTTTTCTGGAACACTCCCTGAAGCAGAGGGAGACTCTTGACACTGGGGGCGCGGATCACGTTCCTCTGCACTGACCCGTGCGTAGCCCACTTCCCTTGGGACCCCTGGAGTTTAACGTGTGACCCAGACCCAAGAGGTTACGAATGACTTGAACAAACACAGGGTCTGATGTGTGGCCGGGGTGGAGTGGTTCCTAATGAGCCCCTGTGCCCGGTGGTCCCTTTCCCCAAGGTCACGGAAATGTCAAGCAGACAGATGCTCTGCTCAGTTAGAAGCAGAGGACGCTGACACCAGAGGGGAGAGGCTCAGATCAGCCAAGGCTCTCTCTTTCTGAAAATGCCTTCAGCCCTGTGCCAACATCAACCCACATCATCTCAGAATCACCCTGAACCAGAACAGGCCAAGCCTGCCGAGCATCCACACAGCCAGCCTGGCCGTGAGGGCTCCACCACAGGAATCGCTGCCAATGCAGCCATGTGCCCTGGCAAGGCGCTTCTGGGGATATCTGACAATGACTGGAGACATTTTTGGCTGTCTCAACTGGAGGGTGCTACTGGCATCTAATGGACAGAGACCAAGGACGCGGCTCAATGCCCCACAGTGCACAGGACGGGCCCCTGCAACGAAGAATAAGCCACCCCCAGATGTCAGCAGTGCCGAGGTGCAGAAACCCTGCTTAAGCCACTCACCTCCCCCTAGATCCCTTCTTCATGCAACATCAAGATCCCCTGAAGATCCGGCCCTGCCCGACCCCACCCCCAGTGCCCACCCTCCCTCCGAGCATGCCCCACGCCCTGAATGGGCCACACTGCCTGACGTGTCCAAGTCAGACACGCTGCTCCCCGCCCCCGCAGGTCCACGTCTACCCAGCCTGTCAGGAGGTCACCCTGTGGAAGCCTGAGAAGACATTCCCCGATGCTGTAGCCGAGGGGGGCACAAGGCATCCTTGTTTCCCCAGGATTTTATTAAATACTCCTCAATGACGTGTCTGTGCCCCCAACCCCCGGCTGGGAGCTTCTACCCTCACCGTGCTGCTGCATGTCGAATTATTCAGACACACGTTGTTGATAAAAAACCCAGGTGACGTGGGCGCAGCGGGCAGAGCGTGCTCAGGAAGGCCTGCTGCCCTGGGGAGGGGGGCCGCCCCCTGTGTTCAGCCCAGGCAGGTGGGGCCACCTAAGGACAGAGACAGCATGGTGACAAGATGGAGACCGGATAGCAGAGCAGAGTCTGAGATCATTCTCAGACTCGCCTTCACCTCTTCTCGGCCTGGCGGCATCCTGACTGCAGGCCGCAGCCCTACCGCCCCTCCAACTGTGCTCACAACCTGCCCAGCCCTGCCAGGCACGGGCGCACGAATGTCTCTGATCCGGAGAAGTAAGAGCCTCCAGCACCGAGACAGAAAGTCACGTAGGAACAGCACGGGCCTCCTGTGAGACAGACAGACATAATCTCTGTGAACATTTCCCCATTGTGTGACCGAGGCAAACCGCATAAGGGAGGCCGCAAGACACTGAGTGCAAACTGCTGGGTTTCCTCCATCAAACAACCTCAGGCAAGAGAGGAAATAGCTGGGCTGCAGGAGAGGAAAGGCCTAATCCTGCCCGAGGGGCTCGTTCCGGCTGCTGGAAGGCCGGCCCTGGAAATGGAAGCGGCCAGGGCGGGTGGCCCTGATCCACCGCCACTGGCCCCTCTTCTCCTGGGAGGCTCCTCCTTCCTCCGGGACATTCCGGGGCACTCTTCAGTGGCAAGTTCCATCCCCGGTGCTACTTGGAGGGTCTCTGCGAGCAGGCAGGCCCTTGGCTAATGCTCCCTGTGTGCACAGCAATGGCCAAAGATGACACGTTAAGACCTGGGCGGGGGGGACCAAGCCAGGGGTCCTGTCCCTGCTTAACTACACACTTTCGCTTCGGCCAGATGATTCTGGAGCATACCACGTGCAGGCACTCGGATGGGGAAACCAAGGCTGACTCAGCCCCGCAGCCAAAAGCCTTCTGCCCGGCCCTGGGAGGTGTGTTTCCCGCACAAGCAGGAAGGAAAACGTACCGCGTGCTCTTCGCTTCCCTGACATGGAGCATGGGTCCCAGAGGGTCCCCCCGCCAATAACCAGCCCATCTAGACCATCCTCCTCTCCAGGCGCTCAGCCCCCAGGAAGCACACCCCACTGGGGACCGCCGATCCCTGGTGTCCAGCCTGCGGGCCTGAAGAGCACAAAGTGACGGACGGGCAAGAGGCCGAGTGTGCTGGCTCAGAGGCATGAACGGCCAGACTGCAGGGTAGAATGTTCTCACAACGTGGCAGCTATGTGCTCTGAAGCAGCAGGCAGGCGAGAGCATCCTCTCTGGGGCTTGCTTATCCTTCTCTCTACTTGAGGTCACGTGCAAAGTCCTGACAAAAGCCTGGACGTGTCTGAGCCAGAAAATCCACAACCCCTGGTCCCCATTCTCAGGCCAGGAAGGGTCAGCCTCACGGGAGCTCTGCCCTGAACATGCATCCCTGTGGGTCCTGCCCGGATACGGAAAAGCCATCTCGACAACGCGAACAGAGAAATCGGGGAGCGCAGCCCCGTCTGTCTGTCTGCCCCGCTGGCTGGAGCAGATTCAGGCCCTGGCGTCAGATGGAACAGTCCCTGACCTCAGAGGGACTGTGCCCATACTGTGGGGGCATAGAGTACACGGGGTGCGGCCCTGCCCTTGGGGGCTCCTGACCCTCCAGAACACGGCGCAGTCTCCTCACCTGTGCCCAGGAGAACACTGCTGACCCTCAGTGCCACATCATGAGAGCCTGGCTGGCAGGAAAGACTTTCTCTGGTGGGGGAGAAGGGGCAGAAATGATGCGACCTAAGTGAAGTTGTGGGGGGGCCTGGGGAACACCTCAAGAGGTAGGAAGCCGTTCTCCTGAGCAGCCGAGTCGGGTATGAGGCCCACGGGCATCAACTGGGGAGAGTGCGTCATGTGGGTGAAGACACCTGGGAGAGAAAACCCAAATTGTGCATCTATCCGCGAGATCAGACGGGAGGAGGAGGCTCTGAGGAGCCGACCTGCATCGCTGCAGCTCACCCGGCCACACGAGGATGCCCCCAGGTGAGCAGCAGGCGGGCGCACCTCTCGCTGGCTAATAATTGTCCCAAATAGCCACGGGGGCCCCACTTCAGAAGACGTGAGTCCCTGAGATAGGGACAGCAAATACACCTGTGTCTGGAGGCCTGTTGTCAGCCACTGACCCCTGACCCCAGCACCTTCACTGGCTCATACACCCCTTCATCAGGCAACTATGCACAGCCCATCCACAGCCCCCGACCTGGGGATGAAACGGAGCCCGTCCCAGGCACTGGAACATTCTCTCCTTAGTCCTCAAAATCCCGAGAAGAGCACTCAGCCCCCAAGTCGCTTCAGATCCGCACCCTAGACCCCTCCAGAACCTCTCCTTCACCCTCCTGGCGAACAAGGCGCAGAGTTCCACGCAGGCGTCAGAACCCGCTGGGCCCTGCCCTGGGGCAGTGATCACCGCTGGGAGCCTGTCTGGGGCGACCCCAGGGAGGCAGAGGGACGGCAGACGACCGACTGGGGAAAGAGTGAGAGGGAGGGGCCTGGATGACACCCGGACCTCAGGCCCAGGTGGTGGGAGGCGGACATCAATCACTGGTGTGTCGAAACCTGAAACGCAGTAGACGCGAGAGACAGGGAACACTCTTCCTCCACGGTATACTTCCTACAGAGAGAGGCCTCGTCTGCCAGCCAACTCAGGCCCAAGCCCTGGAAGCCTCGTGGGGAGCCATGGCCCAGCTCAGTGAGGGGCGGGCAAGGCCAACGCAGACCCATTGAGGGAGGTGCCCCGGAGATTCCCAGGAAGGAGAAGAGTGGTTTGCAAAACCACAGCAACAGAGAGCGGGGTATTTTCCTGCAAAAGCCAAGAAGCCAAATGACAAGCCAATAACCAGCAGAATAAAACAAAACCAAAAATGCTGACATCTTCCCAGCATTTCCTCCAAGACCCTCCCAACTCTCCAGTTACGTGCAGGTACAAGCGGACAATTAAGGCGCTGGAGCTGTGGTAGAATGGCCGGGAATTTTAGCCACCAGTAATGACTCGGGCCAAGGCAGCTGCAATGAATAAGCTCTTTCTGCATCCTTCCCTCGGTGTAGGGTGACTCTGGGGTCCCTGTGTCGCCCCACCCAGAGCCCACCAGGGGAGTATTCCCACCCCAGCACAGGGCTTGGCTATATTTGCACAGATCCTCAACAAATGCTCATTTCCTAAAGAACTTTCTCAACCAGCATATTTTTTAAAATTTCAAAGTATAAATGTCCTAAGACAGAAAAGCCACCAGGGTTCTTAGGAAGGGCGCCCCGTCCTACCTTGTTGTAATACTGCACCTGCACCGAGTGCCACCGCCCGTCACTCACACCCCCGGGGACCTGTGGGGCCACCATTGTCGTGGTCTCACCTGCGGGGTGGGGGGAGACCCAGAGAGGAAACGGGTTAACAGACCACTGTTTAGAAAGTCCTTTTGACAGTCTGAATAAATTTCTTTTCCAACGATTGGAATATCATGTTTCTAGGCTTTGTAAATGTTTTTAATCTAGAGATGTACCACACTTCAACGATTCCCCAGTTTCTGGAAATCTGAGCTGTGTCTTCTGCACTTTCAGCATGATAAACAACACCGCAATGAACATCTTTGTGCATTCTGGATTTCTCCCACAGGATGGATTCCCAGACACAGGAGCAGGGGATCAGTGCGTGAGCAGGCCTGGAGGCGCCGCACGGGATTAGGGTGATTTCAACCGACCAAGTGCCTGTGACGTGCTCCGAGAGCTGCTCCTTCCCTCGAGGAGGCCCTACCTGCCGAGAAGGTGAGCTGCACCTGCTCGTCAACGATCTCCAGGGCAATGAAGTCATGCTTCTCGTTGAAGCGGCCGTTATAGAGCAGCAGGGCGTTCCTCTCCTGGGTGGCAAACCTGCGGGGCCGAGCAGAAGGACGTCACACAATGAATGACCCTGGCACAAACGGTTTGCAGTCGGCAGGCGCGGAAACAAGAGGCTGCCCAGACTCGACCAGCCCAGCCCGCAGATGGTGAGAGCCAGGGGCACACTCAAGAGAGACTCTGGTCCGGGCACTCGTTTTTCTCATCAGAGTTGCCAGCCCATAAAACCTGATTATCGACGCTCTTTCCTGGAAGTAGCAAACCAGATTCCATGGGGGAATTTGGTTTCCATGGCCTATACAATGTGAAAGGATTACATCTGCACAATGTTCTAGAAGGACAACACACAGCCACTATATATCTTGTTGGAAGTAAATGCACGCCAGGGCACGGAGATGCAGTACCTTCTTGTGCAAGGAGGCTGGTGTTGATGGACCACCTCAGGGCCCCTTGTCTCCACCACCACACTCCAGCCACACTGCATTCTTTTGCTCCCAAACACTACACTCTTCCCTGCCCTGGGGCCTTTGCACCTGCCACTCAGGAACGACCTTCCCTGGCTGTGTGGATCTCTCAGAGGTCACTCTAATTGCACTTTCTCTAACTCATTTTATGTAAATTGTGCCCTCGCCCCATCAATCCATCACATCACTCAGTTTACTTCTGAAATTATTATGCGTATTTGTTTATTAGAACATGTGATCCTTAAGGGGAGGGATTACGACTCTTGTTCACTGCTGCATCTCGGTGCCCAAAACAGGGTCCGGTCCACGTAATGCTGATGTCCTTAATAACGATGTGCTGAATAAATGAATGGACGAAGGCATGAGCGAATGAACAGATGCATGAAAATGAACAGACCTGTCAGGCTCTAAGCTTTCAAAGAATGAAAATCCACTTACTCCAAGAAGAGATAAACTTTGTCAGAAATCCTTCTCCCACCCCCACGGTCCTGAGGAAGCGGCTCCATCAGACCCGAGGGGTTCTTCAGACCCACCGAGTCGCCACGATGCCTCCCCGACAGCCCTGGTTACAGAGGACTCGGCAAACCCCCCGAATGAAGCTGGGACCGCTTCCTGAGTTAGCTGGTGTCTCTCATCGGAGATTAAGTGGGGAAATTCTTTCCTTTGATTCAAGGTTGGTTTATCCGTCTTCATGCAGCAAGAGTCTGCCGGAACCAGCCTCAGGCATCTGCCCCTTCCCCTTGAGTTACACAGACTCCACACCTTGAATTCCCTCTGTCTAGAAAGCAGCGAGAACTAATGACAAACTCTAAAGAAAAATACCCGCACAGCAAGGCGGGTGCTCCAGTGTGGAGAGGAAGGGAGCTGAACTAAGCCTGGGATCAACTACACCGGGTTTGTCTCCCGAGGCTCATGGGGCCACCCCTACTCCTGCTGGTAGGCCTCACTGTTGTGGTTTCTTTTTGGCCCCAGGCGGGAGCTGGGACGTGGTGCCAGCGTTGAATGCCCCCTATGGCACCCTCGGGGCCAGGCACCGTCCACTGCTGGATACGCAGAGCTAAGACGGGACTGGGGCCAAGGCAAGGATCTGAGCAGTGCAAGTAAAAAGGGGAAAGAAACAGAAACCGAAGCTTGGGGAGGGGGGCCAGGGGAAGGAGGGGAGAACAAAGGAGGGGGCAAGGAGGGGGAGGAGAGGCAGCTGGGAACGTGGAGCCCAGGCGCTTGGCAAACAGAAACCAGAAAGAGGAGACGCACCGCAAGAGAAACAGCCTGAAACAAAAGCCGTGGCTGGTGCCCCAGTGCACCTTTCTCACGGTGGGCGCCCCTCGGAGGCACAGAGGCCCCCGAGCCTCCAGGCCCCAGCCCCAAGCAACCACAGCCCCCAAGGTGTAGCTGTTCTGCTGTCGACGTTTTGGGAGGACTTCTTACGATTCTGCTTTTGAAGTCATTCCCCACAAACACTGCAGAACTCTGATGAGGCGGTGGCCCTGACGTCTTAGCCATCGCCACACGGACCGGAAATCGCCCATAAATTCTGCCAAATGCAATCACCTAAAAATACTAGATTTGGCAAGCAAGTGGACATAACATTACATTACGTGGAAATTTAATTAAATGCTACTATTTTTTAGTTTCTCTAGAATCTGGAGCCAACAGATTTCCTTTGTCGGTTTCCGGCACGTTTGCCGTGGGCCTGCCCACCTCTGGGACCAGGACTTCTGGTCACCCTTTAGGTCAGCCTCCAAGAGGGAGCCCCTCCTGCACCACACATGACGAAGACACAGGACGCCTTTAATTTAGGGGGTGGGCACCCACAGAAGCCCACTGTTTTAAACATCACGCCCACATGGGACACAGAGTGGTCGGAGATCCCACGGAGGAGCCTCGTTTTGGAGGCTGCGCCCACGGGGTGGCCTCTTGAGTGCAGGGTTTGTGGGGGGAGGGCAGGGACCAGCGTTCCGAGCAGGCAGAGAGGCAGGATCGAGGGCCGGTGCAGGGCCCAGCACTCAATGGTCTGTGTCAAGGGGTGACACCTCTTGCCTGTGCCACGGCGAGAGGGAATGGGAGCTACCAACTGCGCCAGGAACTTTCTCCACACCCCAGAGCCCTCACACATGCTCCGGGGAGGGACCCTCTTTAGCTGCTTTACAGAGTGGTGGAGCCAAGGTGCATGAGCCAAAACATGGACAACAACCTCAAAACAATGCGCCGCCATGCGGCCCACACCTCAGAACCCATTTAGAATCAAACTACACTGCTGCCTTGCAGCCGGGCCCAGACGGCCGAGTGGAGCCACGTCTCCTGCCTGCCCTCTTCCCGGCTCCCTGGGAAAGGGCATCGCTCTAAGGGTCAGAGAGAGAGCCAGGAGCGTGGCCTCGGCAGCACCCGGGCTCCACGGAGGACGCCACCGTTGCTATTTCATTAAAGCTGGTCTCAAAAGGGGAATTCAGGAGGATGGACAAAATCGTGGGAAACGCCTACAAATCAGGACAAGCAGGCCCTGGGCAAACCCGGGGGGTCCCACCCGCCAGCCTTGTGACCTTGGACAAGTTTCTCAACCTTTCTGTGCCTCAGTTTCCTCTCCTGCAAGATGGGGATAAGAGCAGTCCCCAGCTCCCAGGTTCTTGTGAGAAGGAAGTAGGTCTGGCCGTGAGCTGCCCAGAGCAGTGCCCAGCACAAAACCCGCATGTTGTTGCCACACAGTCCACAAAGGACCCTGTGCTGAGCGGGGCAGAGCCCAGAGGTACTTCACTGGGGACCACTCTCTAAACAGAACATCCTCCAAGAGGACCCAAAACTGACGGCCGAGCCCGAGAATTTACTGTGGGGCTGGAGCAGACCAAGGCAGGCAGGTCCAGTTGGCTGCAGGGGTCTGCCCACTTCTGCAGAGCCTCCAGCAGACGATCCAGGCCACTCAGAATGCCCGGAATGTTCACCCTCTGCAACTCAATCTCCTTCCCAACCCCCACCAAGCCAAAGAGGCCTTCCCCTGGGAGAGCCAAAGGCGTCGGGCTGACGGCTCGGGGGCTATAGGCGGGGAGCAGTGGGCACTCGTGCCTTCTTGGCACAGAACTACCAGCCAGCCCCTCACTGACCCCTGGGCACCTGGAGTGTCGGGACACAGGACGAAAAGCCCCTGAGGAGCTTCAGGTCAGCGGGTGGACAGGCCAGGACAGAGCTAGACTCAGCACGGTGACCATGACAGGCACAGCTCTTCAGGAGCTTGAAGCCAGGAAACACCAGCCCAGGATCCCACGCGGTCACTTAAAGGTTTCAAAAGGTTGTGCATCAGCTCTGGAGACTCTAGCACAATCCATCCAACAACCAGGACAAAAGTCAGGATCAGGAAATCTAGCAAGAGCCCCCACCCCAACCAAAGAGCTTGCATGGAGGACCGTTTACAGCCAGAAGATTTGAGCCACAACGTAGAAAACCCGCCAATGATTCAAGTCCCCATGTTAACTGAGTGCCCCCATCAGGACTTTTGCGGGGGAGTCCAGGGGCGGCCCGAGCCTGCAGGCAGGGATGTCAGAGGCTGAAGGCAGCGGACAAGCAGGTAGTGACCGGACCGTCCAGCCCGCGTGGGAATGCAGGCGTCGCCCGGCCTGGGTCAGGGGGCTTCCTGGAGGAAGGAGCAGGACTCGGGTGGCCAGGAGCGGGTGGGGAAATGGCCTGTGCAAGGCTGGGCAGGTCCAGGGTCCATGAGGAGGTGAGGGCAGCCACATCGGGCACAAGGTGCCCGAATCAGGGGTCACCAGCAGTCAGGCCATACAGGGCCCTGTGCACCCTGTTAAGAAGTTTGGGCTCGGGCCGGCCCCGTAGCTTAATGGTTAAGTGCACGCGCTCCGCTACTGGTGGCCCGGGTTCGGATCCCGGGCGCGCACCGATGCACCGCTTCTCCGGCCATGCTGAGGCTGCGTCTCACATACAGCAACTAGAAGGATGTGCAACTATGACATACAACTATCTACTGGGGCTTTGGGGAAAAAAAAGGAGGAGGATTGGCAATAGATGTTAGCTCAGAGCCAGTCTTGCTCAGCGAAAAGAGGAGGATTAGCATGGATGTTAGCTCAGGGCTGATCTTCCTCACGAAAAAAAAAAAAAAAAAGGAGAAGTTTGGGCTCTAACCCAGGCAGCCAGCAGGTCTGGCAGGACTGTCGACAGGGATCGACCTGACTCAGGCTGAGAGCAGACGACACCAGTGCTGTCACACCAGGTGTCACCAAGGAGAGAGGACGGCGACAGGAGCCAAAGTGCTGGGGACTGGGAAAGAGAGACATGGCCGGACACGGGAGACATGAGGACGAGGGACTCACGGGACCTGATTGAGTGAGGGCGAGGGGACAGGACAAGGAGGGCCCTGCTGCCTCGAGCCACTCTGCAGATAGGGCTGGGAGATGGAGACAGAGACGAGGGGTTCCTCTTGGATCTGCTGAGTGCAAGGCACCCGGGGACGTCCAGGCAGAGAAGTCAGCAGCCTGAACATACGCATTTCAGTGTCCAGCCCCGCAGAGCTGGCTTTTGTGGTTTACTGGGGCACAACTGTGCAGTCTCCCTGCCTGGAGTCTCCAGGCTGCCGCCTCTTTTCTGAGCTCCGTGGAATCAGGGCCCTCCCTCCTCCTCAGCACTGACATCGAGGGTCCTTCCCGCTCGATTTTAAGGTCCCTAGGGACTGGAGTCATTTCTGATTCGCCTCTGCTACCCAGAGCACCTCTCACACCACAAGTGCTCGATAAACATGTTTTGGAGCAAACTGAGGGCATGTGGCCCCATGGCGCTCACCACCACCGTGAACACACCACTGTGAACGCACCTGCAGCCCTCAGAACTGCCCAAGCCCTCTGCGGAGGCCCTGCCCACCCTGTCCCCCGATACATTCACCCACATTTTCCATCTACCCTTTCCCTGGAGTCAGCCAGCCCACACTCCTGGCTCCACTGGGTTTCAGGGCGACGGTGGTGGGTCCCAGCCACTTACCCAGAAGACCAGGTCTCACTCGCTGACTGCTCCGCAGGGCGGCTCACACCAGCAGTCCACAGGACCCGCTGGCTGCACTGTACCCCTCAGCTGTTCAGGGGCAGGACTCCCAGGAAAGGAGCCTGCTCCATCCAGCCCTGAGATGCCCCATTCTTCAAAGGGCAACTCAGAGGGAGCATCCAGGTTCTGGGGTGCCCGCTCAGAGGAGGACATATGATGCAACATTGCTACCAGAAAACCGTGTTCCCCTATGGGGCCCCGTAAACACTGGCACAAAATGACCAAATATAAAATATACCCTACTCTACAAACTTAACCCTGACAGAAATCTTTAAAGTGTAAATGATAGATTTTAAAAGATTAAATTAAACCTAAATTCTCTTGGAGAAAAAGATGCAAAAATAAGGGGCTGGGGAGACAGCCCAGTGGTGTAGTGGTTAACTTCGCGTGCTCTGCTTTGGCAGCCCGGGGTTCACGGGTTCAGATCCTGGGCGTGGACCTACACACCACTCATCAAGCCATGCTGTGGCAGCACCCCACATACAAAATAGAAGAAGATTAGCCCACATATTAGCTCAGGGCCAATCGTCCTCAAGTGAAAAAAAGAAAAATAAGAGGAACATTGGCAACAGATGTTAGCTCAGGGTGCAAGTTCCTCAGCAAAAAAAAAAAAAAGGGTGCAAAACTGAAATGATGACCACAGCACACAATAAGCCTGCATCGTTGTGTTAACAGATTAAGGAACCAGAGCTAAAAGGGGCAGCCGCCCTTGGTGACCCAGCCCAGAGGAGGCAAGGCAGCTGCCAAGCTGAGTCTGCCTGAATCCAAGCTGGCTGGTCCTTCTTCCCTCCACCTCTGGCTGCCTGGATGTCAGAGATGCCCAAGTGTTGGCAAGTGAGCAGGACCAGAACAGTGAGGGCCGGCTTCCTGGGAGTGTGGCCTGGGCAGTCACGCAGGGCCCCACGCCTGGCTTAGTGCTCTGCTGTTGCCAACTTGAAATTCTTAATTTTTGAACAAAGGGCCCCACACTCCCAATTTGCGTGGGGCCCTACAAGTTGAGTAGCCGGTCCTACAGCCAGCACTGACCAGAGCTCCTCAGCCATCAAAGAACTACCAGTGGACGAGGCTTTTGTTGTTATCTGGAGGGACGAGATGCTGGAGACCCGAGGGGACCCTTTCCCAAGGCTCCAGCAATAGGAGTCCGTGTCTGGACACAGCAGGGCCCCACTCACGTGAGGGAGATGGTGAAGTGGAAGCGCTGTCTCAGGCCCCGGAAGGTGACGAAGGACTGGGGCGGGAAGCTCCTGGTGGTCACCTCGCAGTAGGGCCTCTCGAACTCGCCGGGAGGACACACGCAGTGGAAGCCACCAACCAGCAGGTTCACGCAGGTGCCCCCGTTTCTGCACACTCCGTTGGCACAGCGGCCCGAGCGTGCGTTCACCTCGCAGTGCTCCCCTGGAGGGCGAGAGCAGAGCGAGGGGAGGTTACACAGCCAGCCAAGGAAGGAGCGAACCAGCCCCCAAGGCCCCGGAAACACCAGCTACAAAGTCTGCTGCTGAAAGAGACGACGACGCAGGCGCTCGTGACGGAGCCTTTCCAAGAACCACCCCAGGGTCTGCCTGCAATCAGACGCGTGATGTTCTCACGGGAACTACGGCACCGTAGTGGGCGATCTAAGGATAGTGGGTCAGCGGGGTCCCAGTAAGCACACCCTGGGGGGCCTCCTCGACGGAATGCGTGAGGTGACTGAGTCACACCAACCCTGTCCCTGTCCCAGTCCCAGGCCTGCCACGGTGCCCATACTACAGAAAGCAGAGGAACGTGCAGCACTGGACACTTCTCAGCATCCAGTCCCGTTCTGAACACCCTGCTGGCTGAGCCGGGCTCTCTCTTACAAGAGAGTGACCTAGAGATAATGAGACTGATAAGAGGGCTTCGTGCCAACTCCGCACACCCGCATCTGCTGCGACGGTGGAGCACACTAGAACCTTCACCGAGACTCTGGAGCGTGCCAGGATCACACTGTACCCCAGTGCCACCTCCTCGGCTGGCCTCCTGCTGTGCCCGCCCTCCACACTGCCCCTCATGCAGACCCCCAACAGCTGGGTTAACGCTGGATTCCAGTTCGTCTTTTTGTGTGTGTGTGTGTGTGTGTGTGTGTGTGTGTGTGTATGAGGAGGATCAGCCCTGAGCTAACATCCGTGCTAATCCTCCTCTTTTTGCTGAGGAAGACGGGCTCTGAGCTAACATCTATTGCCAATCCTCCTCCTTTTTTTCCCCCAAAGCCCCAGTAGATAGTTGTACATCATAGTTGCACGTCCTTCTAGTTGCTGTATGTGGGACGCGGCCTCAGCACGGCCGGAGAAGCAATGTCTCGGTGCGCGCCTGGGATCCGAACCCGGGCCGCCAGTAGCGGAGCGCGTGCACTTAACCGCTGAGCCACGGGGCCGGCCCTCCAGTTCGTCTTTAATCATGTCTGTCTCTCCCACTGGCCTGTGAGCTCCCCGAGGGCAGGGGCCACTGTGCTCCCGGGTCCTCCCCGGAGCCTAATCCCTCAGTGACAGGAGGGTTCCAGAAGCTTTCCCAGAGAGACTGACACCCCCCAGGGCGTGGCCCCTGAGAAGACCAATTTTAGAGCCTCAAGTCTGTTTCTCCGGGAGGTTGATTTTAGCAAGCTCCATAATTGATCAGTGTAAGAAAATTCTTTCAATCATCAAAGGAATGCTTCAAGTGAGCTTTTTGAGGAACAGGTGACACTGATCTGTAATTAGCATAACGATCATCAGAAACCCATGGTGCTCCTGAGAAATTTGAGCTTTCCTCTCCTTCCTCCAAGTACCCCCCATCTTCACTCCCAGGCTGCAACACCCAAGAATACATAACAGCTAAGCAAACATGACCCCAGTCAGAGACCCGTCAAAAACAAGGAGGAGAGTTGAAGTCGCTGACCTCTTCCTGAATCATGACCATGCAGGGGCCACCAGGCCAGGGACCCCCCAGGGCTGGGGCCACCCCCAGGGCCAGGCACGGGTCAGGTGGGTTCTTCTTCCTCCTCCTGCCCCCGACCAGGCAGGTCAAGGAGGCAGTGGCCAGAAGCCCCAGCCAGGCCATCCACCTGTTCTCCATGGGCAGGGGCTGTCCCCCCAGGGACATGTGAACAGAGGCTTCACACCTGCTCAGAAAGGAAAGAAAAAGAATGGCAGCCCAGGGACCCGCCCAGACCCTCCGCTCGGCTCCACCATCGATAGAAACTGGCTGATCTCCCCCGCCCGGCTCCTGGCTTACCGGGGTCCCCTGCCCGCCACATAATGCTGGGCTCCGGCACCCCCCAAGGCACACACACACACACTCATAACCTCACACGTGTGCCCACACATGCATACACACACACCTTACACGTGTACACACACACAGACACACACAACTTCACATGCCTTCACACTCACACCTGCATACTCACACCCTCAGTCACACTCACTCACTCACACGCAGTCACACTCTAACACACACATCCTAACACACACACGCGCGCTGATCAGTGCTCCTGGCCCCTTCTCCAGGTGGGCGGCCTGCAGCTTCTTAAATTCCATGCATTAATTTTAAATGCTTAGCTTAAGGTGTATTTGTTCTCCTTCATGCACTTCAAATTCTGTAATCTCTACTTTTAAAATATATGACATTTGGGAGTGTTTGCTTTCCGAGTTCCAGCTTGGCATGTCAGTGGCCAAGTACAGCATATTCTAGAATAATAAAGCCGCGGTGAGAGCACAGGGTGGGGTGTGCTCCTCAAACCGTGACGGGGAACAAAGGGAGGCCCAGCATCGCCCTTCCCACGGCGCTCTGCCCCGAGGTGTTCCAGAAGCCTACCCATCCGCGCTCTGGTCCAGGTGGTCCAATGTTCACCTGGATGGAAGTGAAGCCCACGGCCCCACCGCCGGCCACCGCCACTTCTACGCTCTGCCTTCGCCGTTGACTGGGACTCACTCCCCCTCTCACCTAAGGGCCGGAGGGCTCTCTGTCTTCACCTGGCCTCCAGGGTGTCCTCTAAAGGGCCACCTGCTGCTGAGGCCCAGAGATGGAAGGCCCCGCGCACCCAGTGGAGAGCTCTTCACTCAATGCCGGAAGATCTGAATTTGACTGCCATCCGGTATTCCTGCTGCCAAATGCAGTTTTAGCGGCTGCAAGGAAACCTCGTTCCTCAGGCCACCCCTGTGGACCAGAGGACGACAGCAGCAGGAACTCGTGCTGCCCACAGCCACACAGGGGACTCACACGTTCAGACACGCTGCAGACCAACCAGCCACCTTTAAAGCATCTGGCTGTCCCGTAGAAAGGGCGTAACGAATGCGAGGGGGTCATCCTGTCCCTCCACTGAAATGGTCACGCTGTTTCAAATAAGTTGCAAATAAAGCTGAACCACCACAAAGCACAACAAATTTGGTAGCTTCAAACAACATTTTTTCTCTCACAGTCTGGGGCCAGAAGTCCAGAATCAGGGTGTCGGCAGGGCCGCGCTCCCTCTGGAGGCCCTAGAGGATCCTTCCCGCCTCTTCCAGCTCCTGGTGGCTCCCGTGTTCCACGGCCTGTGGCTGCGTCCTCCCATCTCTGCCTTGTCATCACAGGGCCGTCTTCCCCGCATCTCAAATCTCCCTCTCCTTTCTCTTATAAGGACACCAATCATTGGATTTCGGGTCCACCCTAAATCTAGGATGATTTCATCTCGAGAGCCTTAACTAATTACTTCTGGAAAGACCCTATTTCCAAATTAGGCCACATTCTGAGGTTCTGGACACGAATTTGGGGGAACACTACTGAACCCACCACAGCAGCCCTCTGTGTTTGTCCTAAAATTACAGTCGTAGTAAACTTTGGTCTCTGCAAACACAGCACCCTGAGGTGAAACTGCATCTGACCCTGTGGGGCTGCAGTTTCCAGAGCAAGTCACCAAGCTCTGGTTTCTGGTTTCTCTGCCCTCGGGAGACACTCTTCCCCAGCCTTTTCCACCTGGCCAGTAAGGGTTGAAGTGCCGGGCCAGGCCTCCTCTAGGCCCCACACCCAACCATCCAACCCTTCTCCCCTTGTGACCTCCCCACAAACCCAGACCTCAGCCCCGATCTCCTCTCGCCAAACCTGTTCTCCTCCAAGTCCCTCACCTGGGGGAGGGTCCCGCCATCTGTCCAGGGAGATAAGCCACTCCCCTCCTCCTCCCATGTCCCCATCAATGCCACCTCTCAGACTCCCGTGTCAAGATCTCCACGGCCACCTGTACCCCAGGCTACGCTGCCCCCACCTGCACAGCCACAGCGAGCTCCTCTCCGAACCCACGCCTTACAAACCTGCCTGCTCTCCGCAGAACACCAGAGAGCTTTTCAGAATGCTGACCTGGCCACAACCTGGCTTAAAATCAATCCCACTGCTCCATGGAGACCCCCCACCCCCGCCTCGGGGCCTGGCCCTCAGCCACATGCCCAGCCCCATCCACACCACACTCACCCACCTTATACACTGTCATACAATTTTCCTCGTCACAGGTCAGTTGGGGGATTCAACAGACTAATGTATGTAGCCCCATACATACCCGGTAGGTACATACTCATACACATTCACCACTCTCAGCAACGATAAACCAGCGGTGACCTTCTTTCTCTGAGCCTGCTGTCCTCTCTCCCGGCCTCTGAAGGTGGCTTCCCTGTGCCTGGATGATGTCCCATCTCACGCACAACCTCCTTCAGGAGGCTTCGCTCACTGGCCTGATGAGGTCCCAGGTGCCCATGGCAGACTCTGATGGGCCCAGAATCTCCTCTCTCTAGAGAGCGCTCATCTCAGCCCCAGGGTGACACACACTATGCGACTGTTAGCATCTGTCTCTGCAGGCTCTGGGGTAGGGGCAGGGTCTGTTTTGGGGCCAGTCTAAGAATATCCAGCACACAGAGGGCGCCTAATGCATGCCTCCAGTGTGTAGTGCCTACGATGACCGCCCTGCACACAGAGGGTGCCTGACGAACACCAGACACAGAGATGAAGGCCCAGCACATAAGCAGGTACTCGACAAATGCCTGTGAAATGAAGTCATAAAAAGCCAGGATTTCCCCAATTCCACGCCGGTGATGAATGCTTGTAGGAAATTATAAAACGTAGATAATTCACATATTTGATTCAAAATGTGTTGGAAATATGTTGATGTAATGAATGAAGAATTATCCTACACTTGAACACAGCTTTCTTATAAAAGGCAGTGAGAACTCTGAGCATTCAGGTTTCCAACGAACTGGGTCAGCCCGGATAAGCTCTCATCTCTGGGTTCTGGGACCCTCATGCAGGCCGACCCCCATGACCCTGTGGGCGCCTTGGCAGGGTCTCCACGAAGTCCAGGCTAAGTCCTTCCCACAGCAGCCACTCCAGATAAGGTGTTTACACTCTACCCTAGTCCACTTAGGTTTGTCCTCAAGTGTATC